TGTGTGAGCTGGTTGCAGTTGCGCAGGTACCTAAGCCTGCGAGAGCCTGAACGTTGGAAGTGGCAGAAATGACCAGAAAAGCCTGGAAAAGAAAGGGCTGGCTAATGACCCGGGGCGGCTCCTGCTCGTAAATGTTACCGGGCTGGCTTTTAGCGAGAAGGAAGATGGACTGATCTTCCTACTCCCACTGGTTTTTGATAAACGCCTCCATAAACTAGAGGATAAGCCCTGGTTTAGGTCTTTCCCCACGTTTTTATCTTTCCACGCTCATTTCCATCAGCAGTGGATTTACTGTCTTTGCTAAGTGTACCTTCATATGGAAATAAGATTTCATAATCTGCACAGATAATATACTGGAATGAAACTGTTCTAATACCCTGCCTGCCAGAAACTGGACTGGAAGGTAAAGAGATATAAAACTTGCAGTAGTAGTTCATTAGTCTCTTATATGCTGTTTGGCTGCAAAGGAGTAACCACACTTGCTCACTGGACTGTGTAGGTTTTTACAAATCTGATCCGTTCTGATCCTGCATTGATTTACTAGGGCAACATTTCATTATTCTTTTTTGCGCTAGTAAGAGAGAAAGGGGTGTACTTCTGTAAAAATATAGTTCTGGTTTTTTATTTTCTTTGCTATTTTGTTACACAAAACATACAGTTTGCATGTTTAACATGCAGTTAAATTGTGTTGTGATTTGTTTAAACTTGCAATGAATTTTGTAAAGTCTCCTGATGAAATCTTGCATCTAATAAGATTCAGCTTTAACTTGCACTCACACCAGACTTATGTACATTTAACTTGTATTGCAGCAATACTTTCGGAAATTTGCTGGTATGTTTTTGTATGGCAGCTTGAGTAGAGACTGGGGAAGAATGTAACATGAAATTGTCTTTTTCCTCCCCATTAGTTAGTTGCTTGACATCTGGTTCAAATGTGTATTGCAGGCCCTTCTTCAGCCCTTCTTTCTCTCCTTTCAATGCAAAAATCTGTCTTTTTCAATGAGGAAATAAATCATCTTTTCCGAAGGACAGGCATTTTAACATCCAATCCAGACAGTTTCCGTGCACAGAACACTTCCTGACTTCATAGCAGTGGGAGATTAAGGCTGCCCTTCTGTTATATGCTTTGAGATCTGTATGCGCTCCTCTGTGATCAACAACCTTCTCATGAACTGGTGCTTATTAGCAGTGAAGGCACAGACAGCTTTGTGTTTGTGTGGCTCAGCTGAACGAAGGGAAGGATGACATAGATGGTGACATAGACGGTTCTGAGCATCTCTTTGTACTGAAGCAAACTCCAGCTGATTTTTTTTTTTTTTTTAACACAAACGTGTAAATGCTAAATGAATAGCAGGCCCTGCTTCCAGTTTCTCACAGCCAAAGGCTGTTGTTGTGTGATGAGAAATTTTGGACCTTTTTGCAGCAGTTTGGGCAGTAATGGGTAACTGTCCCTTTCTTGCCACCAAAGTATCTATTGTTAAATACATATTAGTCTTGGTGAAATAATAATATTATGGTTCCAAAAAGAGTAACTAGAGAAGCTAGAATTAAAGACCACTGTCTCATTCAAAGTGCAAGATAAACATTGTTCAGATATAAGTAATCATTCGATATATTTTCTTCTGCAGTTCTTCATGCGACTTCATGTCTTGTTACTGTGCCCAACTCAATTACCATTCTGAAAAGAGAATTAACTTCTTTCTGTATTTCCAAGTTTTTATCTCTGCAGTATCTGATAGTTTAATTAAAATTAACGTAGCTTTCTTGTGGTATCGTATTTAACTCCATTCTGTATGTAAAGGGGAAGTGTTAAATCAGAAGTACCTGCTGGTTTTAGAAGATCTATCCACGATGTCTAGAACTTGCAGTGGTTTTGATTTTTTTTTCTTCAGGGAACTTAAAGCATAAAATGCAATTATAAATTGTAATCACAGCTTGCCTTGAATAGTTACTACAGCTGGGAATCCTGCAAATCAGACCCCTAGGTCCCAAATTAGGCAATCAATTAGGGTTCCAGCCGGGTGGCTCTGTCATTAGTGAAAGAGGACAGTGGTGGTGCTCCCTGACGAGTAATTCAGAAATAAGTCCTTGAAGAGAGGAACAGCCCAGGGTCAACCCATAGCCAACACTAAAGCATGAGGTTTAAGGACATCTGGCCAGTAGTGACCTTCTGTGAACTACTGTCACTCACTTCATGCTCCAGAGTACTTTTTTTTTTCTGTGCTATCAGGTGCTCCCTGGTGCAACTCGGACTCTGGTGGTGAATGATACCCTGGCACATCCTGATGCCATGTCAGCGAAAGGCCAGACTTCACACAGTTGCCCTGTACTCCTGAATTTCCTTTATAGGAAAGCTGGGTGCCTGGAGGGCAAAGGCCCTGCAGAGCAGGGAAATTCATCTTTGTCTTAGTTAGGATATGGCTGACAGGAAAATCCTGAAAGCATGATTTTCACCTTTCCCTTCCTCAGCTCTTGTATGGGTCGCAACAGTTTCTAACTTCTGTAACAGGTGAAGCAGAGCTTCTGCATGTAAGGCTAGCTTCGTTCCCTGATTCTTGGAATTGGAAAATATGTAACCACGTAATTGAAGAATGGTAATTTTGCATATTTATAAAGTGCCTTTCTGCTTATTATTCAGATTCACTGAACCCAGAAGTGTAGCCTGCATGGCCCACTCTATAGCTTTATGGTAAAAGATGCTCAGAGCCAGCAAACTGAGGAATTCAGCTTCAAAACGGTAGTAAATTTCTGCTGAGCACATGAAACATTTCTTCAAGTGCTTATACTTTGTCAATTTTCCGATGGCTACCTGAAGTATCTGCCAGACACAGCTTTGGCACTCGTAATATTTCTACACTCAGTCTCGGAGGTGCTGTAAAAGCTGTGGAAGGAGAGAGAGGTTGCCACAATTTGTCAAGGTGGAGGGTATGTGTGTGTCAAAAGTTTCAGATACCTTCAGTAAGCAATTAAACAGATTTACAGGGAAGAAAACCTCTCGAGCTATTAACTGCAAAGATACCTCCTCCCTGCTCAGGAAGTCCATGAGCCAAAGGTTCCCCTCTAGAGGTATGGAAGAGAGTCCAGGGGGTTATTGCTAGTTGTTCCTTACACGTCTGCTGACATCTGTCAAAGGCAGAATACAGCACAAGGTAGGCCTTTGGTCTGACCTGGTAACGCTATTCCTGCAGTAAACTAGTGAACTGCAGTCTTTAGCAGATCAGACCAAAGGTCTGTGTATTCCTACTACAGGAATATTCTATATTAGTGTTGCTTTTTGAAGTATTTGAATTGTTTTGGCTGATCTTCAAATAATAGCATGTCCTGAAGCAGACATGTAGTTAAGAAAACTGTTGGGCAACTAATATTTGAAGTGTGGTGAAGTTTATTAAACAGTTGTAAAACAGTCTTACAACGGCAAGTGTCAGCATCTTTAGTTATTGTGCTATACAGTACCACAAGCCCTGTTGATAATACTTTGAAATTACTATTGTCACTTCAGAAAGAAAAAATGCATGGAGGAGAATAAAAGTAAGTCTTGTATTGTAAAAATTGATATGTAGGCTACAACAACAGTATTTGAACTTTCAACTTGAAAGACTTGTCCTTCTGTTAGCAGGTTGCTGGGGTCGGGTCGAACATGCGTATCTCTCTTGGTGTGTGCATGTGCGTACACTTGGGTGCACGCTCGCAGTAGGGTGGAGGGATGGGCCTTTCTTGTAAGGCTTCAGGGCTTGCTGAACTTGCATTTGTTTCCTCCTCTGCTGCTAGGTGGTCTGCAGTAGCGCAGTGTGGGTGAATCCTCTGAACGTATCACAAAAGTCACAAAATGCTGAAGGAGTGAGAAAGTATTTTGTAGGTGGCTGACTTCCTGCTGCATTGGATGACTTTTAATGAAGTTGAGTACCATTTGTGAACAATGACCAAGTGGCTGGATGCGTTGCAAATTTTGAAGTGTGATTTACAGAAGATGTGCAAACCATTGATTTTACTCAGTCAATTTCTTGAATTATTTCTCACAATAATTGTTGCTGTGGTGTTGTCTTGCTGAGGTGATCATTTAAGTTTGTAGTGGTTAATGTTTCTAAATTTGGGATGATATCTCCAGTGATTTTACATTTAATTCATACCAGCAGAAAATGCATCTGTCTACAAAATGCATTTGTTATCACTGTATTTACAAAAGAAAGCTTGTCAAAAGCAAGCTTGTGTTCATAATGCGCAAAAGTAATTGAAATACTTAGCTCTCCAGGGTCATGTGTGCAGTCCTGCCTCGGTGTTAATTCTTGCCCTTTAGAACACCTAGAAAATACCAAAATGGTTATTGTGCCGTGAGGGTAAAGTCAGCAAGAAACACCTCTTCCTAATGCTCTTCTGAAGATGATCGCCTTCAAATGAATGTTAAGTGTATATGGGTTAATTTCTTCTTATGTTAGTTTAACTTTGCTCAAAGAACTTTGTTTCTGAGTAAGAAAAGTTGGGTGTTATTCCCAGCTTTTACGGAAGCCTAGGGGGAAAGGGTTGTAGCCTAGGATTTTTGAAAAGCTGTTTGATGACTCTTCAAAAACAAAACAAAACAAAAAAACCCTCCAAAAACCTATGTTTCTTGTTTTGGGTTTTTATGGTAAAGGGTGTGTTTCCTTTCTGTAAAACTTAATATTAAGGGCCAGAAAGTGTTGTCTGTGCAGTTACTGTTACAACAGATTAAGTATGCAAACACAAACGTCCCAGTCAGTAGTTATTTCTGGAGAGTATGCCATCAAAGGATCTTTTTTAATTTAACTTCAGCTCCCACACATTCTTCTCATTCTGACCTGGTAAAACTCGGCATCTTTCACTGCAGGTTTAGAAGACACTTGCAATCTTTTGTTTTGTTGTTTGACTGCTAGTAACCAGAAAAAGTGACCAGCCAAAAGAGTGAAGGAGTTGAGCCAGCAGTTGCCAGAGTGACAGTTTTCCAATGTAAATATCTTACAACTCTTCTGTTTATCATCTGTTTTCAGGGCAGTTTAAGCTGCTGGAACAAGACCGAGATATTAAGGAGCCAGTGCAGTATTTTAACAGTGTGGAGGAGGTGGCTAAAGCATTTCCTGAACGAGTTTACGTCATGGAGGAAATAACATTCAACGTTAAGGTAGTCCTTGAATAAATATTTATCCCTGTCTAAATGATTAACTGTTACAACCTTTATATACATGGCAAGTGCGCAATGGTGCTGAGTGGGAAGTGTGATTTTATTTTATTTATTTATTTATTTATTTATTTTAAGACAAACGAGTCTTTAGTTCTGCACTCGGAGATGGAATGATTTTTGCAGTGTTAAATCAACACATCCTCTAAGGGCTCCTCTAAGGGCTTTCCTGTCCTGTGGCACATTGGGGAGCAATGCTGATGATCCATCCAATAATTCATCTAATTGGGATGCTGCTGCCAGATTTTAAACAAATGTTGTTTGTTGCCCCCTTTCCCTTTTCCCCCCCGGCCGCCTGATTTTTGTTCTCTGCAAAGCAGCAGCTGCTCCAATCCCTGTCCAGAAAGCCTCATTCTCAGAGAGCGTGCAGGGTGAAATGATGGTATTTCTTTTCTCAGAATTACTGCGCCGAAATAGTATTGTGAATAAAACAAAGCAATGAAAGACCTGTTTGTTCTGTGTGTGTGTGTGTGCGTGCGCGTGCGCACACCCACATCTTGGGCTCATCAGAGGGTCAGCAGTCCCCTGAGCGCGAGGGCTTACTATCCCCAAAGAAAACTGCAACTGCAACAGCACAAAATAGTGATGACTGAACGTAGCGTTCCTTTTCCTACCTGTGTTTCCAGTAAGGTGGCATCCAAGCTAGGGCAGCTCTGCCAACAGCGCCAAGCAGCCTTTGGGCTGTGGTTCATACGCTGTCTGAGACCGGCTGCAAGGCACACCGGGGCCAGGATGTCCAGTGGTTCATCCCCACTTTGTATACTCGACGGGGAAGTTGGTCGATACTGCTGGTTTAGAAACAACACAGACGCTCCTTGTCCTCTGTGTGTAGATGATACGGGGGCTTTTATCTATCTTTTAATGGCTTTTTCTCCTTCTACTAGAGCTGGAGGGCACCAGCTTGTTCAGAATTTTTGTAGGTGGGAAACAAGATTGCTGAAGACTGCTGCAAGTGCAAGAGCTCATTGGTTAGTTCATTTAGTGATGCAAAAACCTGCCTTTCCAGACAGTAGGTTGTTTTCATTTATGCTCTGTACTAACCTGAACCCATATAACTGAGCGTTTCAGGAGTGAAGGCTACATCAGAAAGTTGGAACGCTTTTGCATTTAGGATGTAGTCAGCCAAATCAAGGCAACAAGAACATTCCTTTTCTATCCAGGGGAAATCAGTCTTAGCTTGGGACTGCTAGCCTTATCCACTACTGTGTCAATACTTCTCAGCTGATCAATGACCAAATCAAGAGAATGGCACGGTAAAATGTGCAGAAGAACGTTCATCTGCAGGCTTGTTTAAATGCAAAATTTAAACAAGTCTCAAGTTTAATATGAATGTTCTTAAAACTCTGTCATATTTAGCAAACTGAGATTAAGCATTGCTTACTGTTTTATAGCAAATCCATTTTTTAAAGCTATTACAGTGATATTTAATAACAGTAATAATAATCTAGTTTGAACTTGGTAAAACAGTTACCTAGCAATGTTTCTCTTGGCAGATTTTCCATTGTTTCATAGAAGTCTATTCCAAGGTTGTTATCTTCCAAAAAATAAATGAACTTAACAGGATTTATTGAAATGTTTAATAACTCTTTACAAACAACAGGATGATGTACGCTAGAATTTTAATATAGGGGAAATCCTGTCAAACTGACTTGAGAAAAGAGAGGAAGGCTAACTAAAGTTGATTTTTGTCCAATACAGTGTATGCATTTAAATTCAGAACAAAGTGTCAGAAGGTAGTTAATCCAAGATAGGAGAAAAAAAAAAAAAAAGTTGTCTAAAATACCTAGTGAAGCATTGGTGATGAAGATGAGGAGGAATTCTTAAGTCTGGGAATTCTTATTCTGAAACACTTAAGCTTTTCGCAGATAATTTTTGAAGAAAGAGCCTGTAGATTTACAGGATACCACCAGTTAGTGTATGGTTTTGTCTGTGCATGTTGAGCTCTGCCTGAATATGCCATTATGGCACTGTTATGGTTGACTTGGTGCAAACTTTGCTGCTCTATGTAAATCCTTTCCTGGTTAGGCAGGATTTTATAGCTAGCACTGTAATTTAAGAACTGCCTTTTCATTATGTTATGAGTTGGAATTTTCTCCAAGGGGATTATTTTATTTCACTTTGTGTATAATTCGTGAAAAGGAAAAATGGACCACCTTATCCTGGGTGAGGCGGGGGAGATGAGTCTCCCTTCCTTCCTTCCTGTTTTGCAGCTAGGCAGGTGTTCTGGGAAATGCCCCAAGGCAGGGCATTTAGCACCTGCCATATATTTGAGGGCAGTACTTGTCCCGAGTACTTTTTGCAGGTTATCAAACAAAAATTGCTGATTAAACCAAACTTGTGTAATGCCTGAAGCTACTTATAGGAATTTTCTTTGGATGTCTTTACGTATCAACTTGTCCTCAAAATGTTCTGAGGACATGTATACTGTATGTATACTGTGCTTGTATACTCAGCTGATCATCTCGGGTAGCTGGTGGCCAGCAGCATGTACAGGCACAGTAATTTAGAGTATTCTGGGGATGAGCTAATTCCACTCAGTGAAATATGTATTTAGCCTACACCAAATTGAAAATTAGAGTCATTTTGCCTTTTCTTTCCTGAGCAGAGAGCTGATAGCTTTTTTTGTAGTAATACTCAATGCACTATTGCAGAGAAATTTTTTTCTGTAGCAGCACTGCACTCACTACAAAGACAGGACTTTTTGAATCTCGGTGGTTGGAAGAAAGTCATTATTAGGAAAGTTGAGCCACTGCAGGACCCTGCCTTTTGCTGAACCAGCAGCAATAGGTTGCCACAGGCAGATACTCTGATCCCCTACAGAGGGCAAGCCATACAAATACCCAGGAAGCTATTTGTGTTAATGGGAGAGAAGACTTGAAAAGAAGAGCAAAAACCCCACATCATTTTGGGGGATAAGTCAGAAACAGTTCTCTTAAAAATAGTATTTTTTGGTAGATTGAACATTGGACGAGCCATAAATTCCTGAACTCTAAATGATTGGCTTAGTTACATAGTGACACCCTTTCAAACTTTTGGGATCTCATTTTCATCTGGAAGATATCACTCAGTCTCCTTGGAGACACTGTGGAACAGTTTGAAGAGCATTACTAGGAAGAAAAGTGCCGTAGTTAACTAGCTGTAATGATTTTCTTTCTTTCCTACCAAAGATATCATTTGGCTAGTGTGAACTTCTGATATCTGATTTGTTTGTTTATTTTTTAAGTAACCCTCTTTTCACAGTGGTTTAACTATGTTGATTGACACAGAGTAAGCATTTTGTCAGAAATAAATATGTGATGAAAACTTTTTTTTTTTTTTGGACAAATGTTAATGCAGTCCAGTGAAGCAAGATTAATCTCCTGATTTGGTTGCAGTTCTGTTGGTCCTGATAAACTTTCCCTGAGTTTGCAAAAAGCACATATTTAGAAGGCTGTAAACTACAGCTTTTTTTTAAAAATGCTGCAATAGAGATTGCCACTTTCCTCCAGAATCTGATGCATAGCTTGAGAGAGAGATAGAGAGAAGCAGATACGCTGCTTCATGCCTAGATTTATGTACTTTCTAGAGGATTTCTGCTCTAAAAGGAGCCCTGATAGTAAGGTTCACTGCCTCATATGGCTTCATGGGCTGCCCTTCCTGACACGCCATGTGAAGAGGTACTTCACATTAGAAGTTAGAGCCCTGCAGTATTAGCTGTCATACATTTCAGGGTACTGTTTGAACATTTTGATTTACTAGAGGCATCCTTAAAGCAACGCGGAAGCCAGCTTTAACTCTAGGAATCAGGGCAAAGTCTGTCCCAGTTGAGAAGGAAACAAGGCTATATTAACAGGAGGAGTTGTACTTGCTGATCCTTTGTCGTCTTTGTCCTGTGTGACAAGCAGATTTACAAAAAGAAAAAAAAAAAAAAAGGATGCTTTCTCATTGAAAATAGCCAACTTCCTTTAAGAAGTTTGCTTATTTTTTCATCTGACATTCTCCTGAAGACTTTTTTTTTTCAATATTGGAAAAAATCTTTATGCCTTTTTTGTAACCTGTAAAACAATAATAATCATGCTCTGGTTGGTCCTTTGGTTTAATAGTGAAAATTGTATGCAGTAATGAATCAGAGTGCTTACTGAAAGTACTAGCTGTGAATTTTTACTGTGAATGCAATGCTTACACAGCTTTAATAGGATCTAGCAGGCATAACAAGCTATATGAAGCCACAAATCGTTTTTATATGAAGCTCATACATGCCCAAGTGATTAAACACTTCTACTTCAAACTATAACAAATTAGAACAATTGGAGTTCAAGGCAGCATATTGACTCAGGTGTTATCAAAATCTATTATTCTGAGTTAACTTTTGCTTAAGCAAAAGAAATGATATGCTTAAGCCTTCCCAAAAACCATTGTTTCCTAAAAAATCATTACATCATCCTTCTGATACCAGTCTTCTGCAACAAATGGCATTGCCCTCTGAATTGCTATTGAATTGTAGTGCTTCTGATAAAATGTCTCTAAGGCAGCAACCTCTCTGGTCAGCATCCTAGCATCAGGACTGAAACGCTAGTAAAACTGGCAATAGGAAGGTGAAGAGTAAATACAGTGTGGAATAGGTTGATGCTGGGTCTGTGGTTCTCTGTGTATTAGTTGTTCAATTTGAACATCTGCTAGTGATTTCTAAATGGCTTTGGAGTATGCCCAAGGGCCTCTTCCACAAAGTAAGGAGCAATGATGGCTCTCACCTATTACTAGGAAGTGAGAATTGTCTGGGAATGGCAAAGAGGGGGGAAACAATGGGCATCTTAGTTATAATGTGTAAAGCTGTGCGTTTAGAGAGAACAACCACAAAGATGAGCGTATTTGTGGAAGGAGTTATTTCCAGATGCTCCCAAGGCTACTTGTTTAATAACTGGAGAAGGCTTTGTGTTTATCAGGTAATGGCTGCAACTGGAGGTATGGTAGTTACTGCTTTCAGTTGTTGTATGGAAATTGTCCAATGAAGAACTCCCATTTTGAACAGAGGATAAGAAATAAAAATAAATTAAAACATGAGAGTACTGCCACATTAAGGAGATGTTTGAGGTATTGTCCTGCCTTACTTTCTCCTCATTCCATCAGCTGGTCTCAGCCTCCTATCAGTTGCAAGGTTTTTGTCTTCACACCTGAACATTCAAAACCGAATCTGGCGGGAGGAATCACAAAGGAGGCAAGAGCGTTGCTCTGGGGTAGAGTGGAAATGAGCTGCAAGTATGGGTCAGAGTAGAGTCACATCAGGACTGGTATCGGCTCTCTAGGGTATGTTATGCTGCTAAATGAAGGCTTTCCAGGTACTTTTTAATTATTGAAATATTTTCTAACTACTTTCTGCCTTCTGTGGAGTGTTTCAGTTTTTCCAGAATTTTAAAGAGATTCAGCAATCTGCCAGATGCCAGAAAAATATATCCTTATTTCTGTGGCAGTCTGTATTCTGGACTACCTTAACTTTGCCACTCCGAGACAGTACATTTTTCTCTTCTCCTCTTCGTATACAAATTATATGCTAGATCTAGTGCAAGGGTGGGACACGCTGCTAGCAGTTCAAAGTGTCAGAAATAATGTAGGGCCCTGTTACATCCCACCAGTGATTTCATAGCAGGAAGTGGAGGGTACATATTGCATACTCTGAGCAGCGCTATAAAGGAGCGTAGGTGTACTTGAAGGTGTAAATCCTGTTGGGTTAGTGCTGGAAGTTTAGAGGGTGGAGGGAGCTGGATCTGGTATAGTGTTGTCCATTCTGCCTTTAGGAATAATTTTTGACGTGTACTCTCTCTCAGATCACATTTTCTTTAAGAGTGCTACATGGCTTCAGTCAAACCTGATCCAAGGAGCTGCTACAACTAAGCAGCCTTGACTGATTAGTTCCTGGGCTGACAGGAGCCTCGAACTTCACTGAAGGCATGCACAAAGTCCCGCATCTGGGACAGAATAACTCATGCAACAAACTGGGGGGTGACTGGCTAGAAAGCGGCTTTGCAGAAAGAGCCCCGGGGTCCCGGCGGGCAACAAGCTGAACAATCAGCAGTGGTGTTGTGGCAAAGGCAGCCAACTGCGTATTGGGTGATATTAGAAAGAATATAGCCAGCAGGTCGAGGGAAGTGAGTATTGCCCACCATTTGATGCTTGTGAGACTGCAGCTGGAGTGATGTTTCCAGTTTTTTGCCCCCTAATACACAAAAGGCGTTGACACTTGCAAGCGAGTCCAGTACCCCGAGATGGTCAAAGGACTGGAGCAAATGACACAGAGGAGAGGCAGAGAGTAGTGGGTTTGTTTAGCCTTGAAGGTTGAGGGGAGATCTTACTGCTGTGCATGCCTACCTAATGGGAGGGTGTAAAGAAGACAGAGACAGACTCTTATGAGGTGCTCCGTGGAAGGAGAAGAGGCAACAGGCACAAGCTGCAACATGGAAATGCTGATCTGATACAAGGAAAAAAAATGTTTACCATAGGGTCGGTCAAAAATTGAAAGAGGTTGCCCAGAGATGTGGAATCTCCATCCTTTGCAAAACTAGAAATTTAATTGGACAAGGCCCTGAGCAGCCTGCTCTAACTAGAGCTCCTTTGAGCACAAGGTTGGACCAGAAGACCTGTGGCCGCTGATGAAGTGGTTTAGTGAACAAGATAGAGTAAGTTTGATTTTCATAGCTCATTGCAACGAGGGCAAAATGAAGGTCATTTAGCTACGTAATTTGAGAAATATAAACTTAAGGAGACATTTATGCATGAGTATTTAGAGGATTTTAGAGTGATTTCAATTCATGATATGCATGAGAGATGCATTTGTTGCTAATGTCCTGGAATAAATATTTACCTGCTATGTATACTTTATAGATGTTAACTAGCATATGGTAATAAATGAGTTAAGCGTAAATCTAACACAAAAAGAGAGGGATTAGCTTTCTTGTCTTTCAGAACTTACATTTTAAAATACGCTTAGCCTGCTGAGGTCTGCCAGCAGCCTTAACTTCACCATAGTAAAGTTTTGTGAATAGGAATGAAGTCAGAATTGTGCAGTCTTCAGACATTTGGCTTCACTTTTTCATTTTTTATGATAGTTTTGGACAGCAACTGATACCTCATATATTTTCATTCAGAAGGAAGTGCACAAAACTGTTTAATGTGGCACTGTGAATAAAACACTGCGGCATGATTTTTGTTTTGTTCCAGCACAGTAAAATTCAGCTTTACTTCACCTATTATTATCCTGTGACTATATTCCAACAAAAAAAGGATGAGCATTTTCAAAATCTTTAGATTTGAACAGGCTTGTCTAATCTAAAAATCCGTTTCTGTTGGTTGGTTGAAATGGATGCCATCCCTTCCTGAGACCTTCGCTGTGAAGCTATGCAAGTTGGTTACCTCTGTGCACTCACCTCTAACCATCCGTTTCCTTGCACAGCGGGTTGTTTGTTTGCGAATCACTAGGGAACTGCACGTTGTCAAAGCAGCAGCTCCCACAGGGATGGGTTATAACACCTCCCTCGCTCTTGGCAGTGGCTTTCAGGACGTTAGGATGTGTAGCGACACCTTCCCAAGTTTAAATTTCTGACAGTGTGGCTTGCATTGTCCAAGCAAGCCATCTGCACGTATTTGTGGGTACTAGAAACCAATATTCTTACAGAACATGCCCTTCCAAAATAGAAGGGAGGGGGAGAATTGACTGATATGTGCCCAGAGCACTGCGTGTCCTCAACCCCTTATCCGCTTCACCAAAGTCAAAACTACATCACTGACTGCAGCTTGAATGCAGCTCTCCATGGTGGTTTCGAGGAGAAAATAGCAATGAGCGTCGTTCCCATGTTATCAGTAAGGACTGACTACTTTCCTTTCATGCTGTGGCGTTTCAAAATCTTGTCTGGCCAGAGGTATAAACTGTGAATGAGTGTTATGTACAATAAAATTCTAGCAGTTTCCTGGATTAGACTGATTAGTGTTTGTTTAGATAATGCGGAACTTGAATGACTTCCTCTCAGGAAACACTAAGAAGGCACACCTCTAGTGAACTGCCTGTACGTTTGCTCTGAAAGAGCTGCAGAAGACAATCACAACTTTATGAATGCGGAAAAATGGCAGACCACATCTTGCATGAGTAAGGGTTACTTTACAGCAGTTATAACTAATTGGAATTACCCTTTTGATTTCATGCAGTGGTTGTTCTGTGACGATACCAGAGTTCGAAGCATGGAATTTGAACTTATCTCTGCTAAATGAAGTCTTTAGGGGTTTTGTAGGTGAAGAGAGCATATACCTTTTTTGCATGTTTTTCCAGCTGCACATTTTTTAAATATGTGTCTGTCTGGTGCACCTTCTTTTGTGAACAAGCATCTGCTGCTGCTGCTGAGGGAGAACGGGGTAAGTTCTGTTAGGTCCCTGAGAAAGACCTTCCACGTGAAGCCACCCAAATAGGAAGGAGAAGGATCTTGTCTGTAAAGAGTTATTCCAGTCTTAAGGAAATAACTTCAGGAACAAATGAGCCTTGGACATCTGTTTTGCCTTTCTCTCTCTCTCTCTCTCTCTCTCTCTCTCTCTCTCTCTCCGCAAAACAATTTCCATTGTAGAAAAGCACACACATGGCTGTGCATATGTTGTTTAATCTCTTAAATAGCAATTATGATCAAAAAATGAGGAAGGAAGTCTATGACTAGGAGAGCAAGGAAAGGGGGGAGTTTGGCAGATGGGATAGAACCAATATTCTTGACTTCTCCTTCAGGGAATATATGTCATCTCTCATTCCCAGTAGCCTGGAAGAGATTATATCAAAGGGATATGCTTCATCTGTAATGATGAGATCACCTTTTCTGCTCCTCAGGGAACTGAAGATGGTAAAAGAAGGATGTTTGCTTCTCTCAAGATCCTGGCAAATAAGTACCAGAAAGCAGCAAAAACAAGGGAGGAGGGAAAAGATGTCCAAGGGAATCCAGATATGCTCTGTCATAGCAGTATGACACATGCAGCTATTTGCATGGTTGGGACATGTGGGGATTTGTCTATTCTTAAAAAAACTGGTTATGTATGTTCTCATACCCTCTTAGGAAGTGTCAGGTGACTGTTTCCTCTCAACTAAGATAGGAGAATGTGTGGCACAACAAAAATTTTACTTGGCTGAGCTTGAGGCTATAAACCTTGCATTTAACTACTCAGCTAGTCGATTAAAATTAGTGTAGTTTCTTTCAAAATATAGCTTATAAGTGCACTCTCAATAGATTTGGTATGAACTGAAGTATTCAAAAATACTTCAAAAACAAACTTTTTATTACTATTTTGCAGGTGGCTTCAGGTGAATGCAATGAAGACACTGAGGTTTACAACATTACACTTAGTACTGGGGATGAGCTCACTTTAATGGGGCAAGCAGAAATCCTTTATGCAAAATCTTCTAAGGAGAAGTCACGACTCAACACCATCTTCAAGAAAATTGGGAAACTTAATTCCATTAGTAAGCTAGGCAGAGGTAAAATGCCCTGCCTCATCTGCATGAACCACAGGACCAATGAAAGCATCAGTCTCCCTTTCCAGTGTAAAGGCAGGTTTAGTACCCGCAGCCCATTGGAGGTGCAGATGCAAGAAGGTGAGCACACCATTCGCAACATAGTAGAAAAAACTAGGCTGCCTGTTAACGTAACTGTGCCGAGTCCTACACCAAGAAACCCTTATGACCTGCATTTTATCCGGGAAGGGCACAGATATAAGTTTGTCAACATTCAGACCAAGACTGTGGTGGTTTGTTGTGTTCTTCGTGGCAACAAAATTATTCCAATGCATTTTCCCTTACACTTGACACTTCCGAAATTTACCCTGCCTGACAGCCTTGTGAAAGGGGAGCTGTGGCATGAATCCCTTATCCAGCACTGGTTTAATATATGCCAGGAACAGTTTGACATAGATGAGTATTCCCGAGCCGTGCGAGATGTGAAAACTGACTGGAATGAAGATTGCAAGAGCCCGAAGAAAAGTAGATGCACGGGGCACAGCCATGTGCCGAATTCCCTGAGCTATGCCCGGGATGAACTAACGCAGTCCTTCCATCGGCTGTCGGTGTGCGTCTATGGAAACAATTTGCATGGGAATAGTGAAGTGAATCTTCACGGCTGCAGGGACTTGTGTAACGAATGGGCCCTGTTTTCTCACGATGCTCTTCAGTACCAGGATTCTGGTGACAGTAGCAGTGATTATCTTTTTCCTGAAGTTAGTGAAGAATCAATGTTTCTACCTACAAAGCCAGAACTTCCTTATGAAGAGCTGTGGTTGGACCAAGGGTCTGGTAAGCCTGGAGACCAGCCCCTTACTCGCTCGCTAAGTGAAAAGAACAAATGTGACAATTACAGAGGCTCTTTCCGATCAAAGTGTGGTACCGCACCTCTTCCTGTGCCTGGGACTATTGGAGCAACAACCAAGTCTTCAGATGTTTCCCTACCTCCACCTCCAGTGCCTCCCAAATCAGAAGCAGTAAGTCAGGGTTAATTTATGTTGCTCTGTTTCTATTTTAGCGGATGAAGAGTATGCTTGGGAATTTTTTAGATATCTTGATGGGGGGGTGTGCGGGGCAGGTGGAGGGCAAAGAAAAGGTGAGTGGAGTTGTGCAACTTAAACTAATTTCGTACCAAGTGAAATTCATGTCCTGAAAATCATAATTTAACATCAAGGATCAAGTAGTTGCTTGATCCTGAAGCTTTCAGGTGATATTTATTGCCTTTTTGCTCTCGGACAAGAACTGAGAATTTTTAGGTCATTTCTTTGCTTCGCTTGCTTTCCACATCATCTCTCTACAAAGGCCGCATGTTTTCCTCACATTTTCTGTGGCTGAAGTGTGTGAGACAGGAACCCACTTGGAATTGCCACAGATCACCTCTGTGTCTTCAGTTAGCAGTCTCTGATATTTTTTTATGGCTAGAATTTCTACAGATTTGAAACGCGTATTAATGAGAACTTATCTGCTCAGTTACAAGTCTATGGCAGATTTTTAAGAGTATTAAGTGTCATTGTCCTCAACCAAATTTTACCAAGCTGAAGCTGAATTTACTGCTTTGTGTGGTCTGTTAAAAGCAAATATGTTTAAATAGGAACTCTGCAAGTTCATAAATTAGTCTTCTCAAAGACTCATTTTTAAATGATGTATGTTTCTAGGCCGAGGGTTTCTAGTATAAAGTCGTGGGGAAATCATTTCTCCAAACCTGAAACGTGGTGGAGAGCACAGGGGGTGAAAATACCAATATGGTTCATCCTCGAGATCTGATGTGGACTGGGTGGAAATTCCACCCGTTATAAGATCTCCTGACATAATCCTAAACATTATTTAAAAATAAAATTAAAAAAAAAGAAGACGTTCCCCCACAAAAGGCTTTCTAGGAAACTAGCAAAATATAAATACTTATGTCATGAGATTCCTGATGGATATTCCCATGTAATGAATTAGTTTTGCAGGGTTTTTTTATACAATTTAAATTTTTAAAAAATCTACCCACTTGTCAACCCAGCAGTTTTTTCAGGCACATGGCTTTACAGGAAACTGAGGATAATCTAAGACCAAATTACAGTGCACTGCGCTGATCCCATCCTTTTCCTCTTGCCACCCCACAGTCTCAGCAGTGCTGGCAGTAGCCTTGTTGTGTGGCAGACCACGATCCAGCTGTAAAACCGATCTGGTTGAAAACCAAGTTTTATTTATTTGTGCTGGCCTAGCTTTCACTGGATTAACTTGCTTATCCCACTAGGCAGTTGTAGCCCGGAGAGGGGAGAAAAGTGCCAGTGTAGGCCTAAAGTGCACAACGGCAGCGGTTGGATTCTGCCACCACAACAGTTCAAAAAAAGCAGCCGCAGCAGCTTCAGCAGAGATAGGAAATTAAAGACATTATGTCCTCTTCGCAAAGAGTGTTTACGTGTTATGTCTAAGCGCTGGAACCCAAACGCACTCCCCTGCTTTTGAGGTCAGGAGCGTACCTAAGTTTTGTCCAACTGCTTTGGGTAGGTGCCAGCCTGCGCCCTACGGCGACGAGGTTCCCCGGCAGCCTGCGCTGATGCAACCCAGGTCGGGGCTAGTCCCACCCGCCTCCTCTCCTCCTCCTCCTCCTCCTCCTCTTCCTTTCCCAGCCATATGGTCCTGGCTTCTCTCTTGTGCTGGCTCTGGCACTCCTGTGCCTGGGCAGGGAGCCAGATCTGGATCTGGAAAATGATTAGTTTCCTGCTGTGATTTCTGTGAGCTGAACTGCTTCAGCGCGGGGTCAGACGAGCACCAGAGCCCGCGCGAGGGAGCGGCCGGGGGGAGGACGGCTGCGGTCGCGGTGGGGCTGCGGCAGCTCTCCGGGCAGGGGCCGCGCACCCCTCGCACCCCCAGCCGTGATGGCAGGGAGCCCTTTGCCCCAGTCGCGGCACAGCGCCAGTGGGAAGGAAGCGGGGCGCTGGGAGAGCCAGGAGCACCTGCCCTGCAGCGCAGGTGCGCCCCACACCCTTGGGAACGGAGAAATCCCTTATTCAGGCCTTTTTTGGAGTCACTGGGGTGGCGTTTGGGATACATATGCACGTTGCCATGGCAATTGCCTTTCAAGGTCATCTTGAAAAGCATGCGACTTTGCCATGTGTATTTTACTTACCAAGGCTGAGGTAATGTGGGTGAGTGCTGACAGCAATTTTAATACTGCTTTCTGGCCACGTAAGAGAGCTAATTTCTGCTAAAGTTATTAGATTACATTTTGAGGTAGGCAGAGGTGTGACCTTATTAAAAAATATATATATATATAAATTGCATCTCCATAGATGGGATAATGATTTAGAATCGACTTTGTGGCTTCCTGAAACAGCTTTGGAATGAATATCGGTGACCTGCTGCTGAATTCGTGAGTGGGTTGGGGTTGAAAAGATGTTTGTATGGTTTCCATGTAGGGTATTTATAGAGTAAGTAGATCTCAGTGGCGGCTGCTGAACATGAGGTTTAGTCATCACTCCCTCCAAGATGATATTCCGTAGCGTTTCTGCAGAGTTTGGCTGACAATTGTATTTTTGCATGCACTGAATTTAAAATATGTATATGGGAGCTATTTGTAGGAGAGGAGGACACTCAAGTATTTCAGAAGCTTTCCTGTTTTTCTTCTCACCTACTGGATGAAAACGTTCTGATAACGCGTACTTCCTTAAATACCTTTTAGGAAAGTCAAAATAGCATGAAAGCAGAAGTGGAAGAAAACAACCTCTGAGTTAAGGCCTCTAACTGAGAAGTTCCTTCAGTCCCCAAACACTGATTTGCGTAAAATCAGAGCCTGTTTTACTGATTGATTTAAAGCATGTCCCAGATGGAATATGCTGGAAGTTCAGGCTTCTGTAAGCAAGGGACATTAAATTACTTTACTCGTGGCAATACTAGCAACTGTTTTTTGTTTATATATGTATTTTTTAAATCCGGACCGCCTCAGAAGCAGTAAATCAGGTCAGTCCCGTGCATGTCTCCGGCCCTGCTGCCGTTCAGGTGTTTGCACGGCGCTGTAAGGCTGCGAGCGCGTTTCGTGACCGCAGCTCCCACAGGCAGGCGCTGCAGGACTGCTGTCCCACAGGTGCCTCTTCTTGAAGAGTCCCATGGCCAAAATTTGCTTTTCCTGGGGCGTTTTGAGCAATGTATAGTGCTGGCACTGGGCTGTAACACCCCCAAAGTCCAGGTGGGTGCTGACTGGAGGGCAGCCGCCGCCAAAAAAAGTGAATGAGGTTATAATGCTTTTTAAAAAGGGGTCACGATCACCGCTTCACAGACTGAAGTGTTTGAATGTGGGAGTGTTTGAATACAGAAGTAGTGCCATGCAAATGTGCTTTATCTGCATCTGGCAACTGCATGTCATCTGGTGCTACTGGTGATTGGTGAAAAGAGTTTTTTTTTTGGTTTTTTTTTTTTTTAAATAACAGCTATCAAGTAATTTGAGCACGCTATGGCTGTTCTCCCCCTCTCCTGTATTTACTTTATTGCTGTACTCCTGGACCAGTGAGGGTACATCTCCTGTGATGTTTTCCCGTTGTTCTTGCTAGTTTAATCTGCAAAATCCCTACATGTTCTTCGTCTGCTGTGTTTCCTGAGAGCTGAGTCTGGCAGCAATAGTCATCATGGTCTTGTGACAGGGACCAACTGGGACTACAAACTGGTATTGTTTACAGCCTAATTCTGATCTACAATCTAGGTCAGCAAAGGAGCTGGGTATAGTTTGTTACGCCACTACCTTTGAATGCCAGTAGTCTCTCCAGTAAAGAGTTTCTTTAACCCCTTGACCATCTGCTGTGCTCCAAGAGCTCCCCTGAATGGTCTTTCTAACCCCATGATATATATTCAATAGCACAGCATATTAACTTTACCTAGTCTGACTTGGGGGGGAAAAAAAAGTCCTTAGGCATCCTTGGGGCACAGCACTAAAATGGTTGAAGAGTTTTATGCCTGAATTCAATAACAAACATGAATAAAATTGATTCCATTTTTTTGCGAGAGAGCAAATAAGAACCCTTAGAGCAAGATTTATTTCAGTGTTTTATGCTGTTGGGCATTTCCTGTAATTCTAACTTGTTCTGAATTAGGGAAAAAATGAACTACAATGTCCCAGTCCCCAATTTTCCATTTCACATAAGTACTAAATGGGTTGTTGCATTTTGAAAGCACTGAAGCAGAGTGCAGAAGGTTCCACATTTATTTTGTTTTAAAATAAATTAAATCACTTTAATTGCTAATTATGTGTTGCAGAATTGCTAAGTTCACTTTTAGTTCTGCAGTGTTTTTAAACTTGAAAATAAACTGTAGCTTCCACACAGAATGAGAATTTCCCTTTCCTGTTGCATCTAGGACTATTTCAAAGAAGCAGAACATAAAGATCTCTTCCTACCAGGGGTAGGTGATGAGTCCTTAAAAATCCTGTCTGGAGGCCTAATTTTTGGTACCCTTACTCACCTTTAGCCTTAGTAAATGAAGTTGTTTTCTCAAGTATGTGCTGACAAGATTAAGGTCTTAACTCCTTTTTTTTTTTTTTTTTTTTTTTTTT